TGGAACATAAAAGAAGATAATTTGAGAAACATCTCAGTATTGTTTGTTCATACAATGAAAGTCATTGGTAACCAAAACAGCTTTGTTTTTGACAGTTTTCAGAATACCTTCCTTTATGTTCCGCAAAAGAAAGTTTTGAAATGACATGAGGGAGAGTAAATGATGATAGAATTAAAATTTTGGTTGAATGTTTTTATTATTATTATTATTAATTAAATGATACTCTAAACAAGAAACTAAATCTGCCAGCAGGTGGCGCTAAATGTCTTTAGTCGATTCGTTCAAATGGCTGATTCATTCAGGAATGAATTAAACGGCTCTCTTTATGAATGAGTCTTTGAGTCATTGATTCACTCGATTCGTTCAAAACGCGGATTCATTCAGAAACTTAACACCGCTGTGTTGCTCACAGACGTGCAACAATTCTGCTGTGGCTTTAAAGGTAATATGTTCTCTGCAAATTTGAGCAAAGACACATACTATTGTGTTTAAAATATAACACAATATTAACTTATTTAATGAACTGTTGTATAAAATCACATTTAAACTCATATTCGGGAAAAAAATCAGCACTTGCTGCTGGTGTGATATCGCTTATTGTATGATATAAATACAGTGTGAGACAAAAACACATACAGGAGCATTTTTGGCTCCAATATCTTGAATTTTAGGGCATAACTGCATTAATAGAGTTGTTTCCCTGCATTATAACAATGAATAACATGAAATATAAGATGATGTACGGGTCTGGGGGCGGGGCCAGTGCGATAGCTGCGCTAAAATATTTTAATCGCGTTTTTTTTTCATAACTAATTAATTAATGCGTTAAACTGACAGCCCTAATATATATATATATATGAAAAGGAGTCTTCAAAAATTCTATATATATATAATTTTTTTTTACTAAAATGAACAAAAATAACAAGAGAAAAATTAAGGTATATTTAAATTAAGGCTGAGGTTTTTAAATTAATTTATATTATAACCATATATTATGTTTCTTTATACAATAAAATTAGATGTATTATAAACTATATTTGAATATAAAGTTTAAATTAGATATATTACTATATAAAAAAATATTATTTGACAAGTGTCTAAATTAGATATGCAAAATTAGATTTTAAGTGCATTTTTAAGTGACTTTATATTTAATTTATATTCTAAACTATTTTAATATCAAGTTTAAATCTGTTATATTATAATTAGTTATATTGTAAAAAACTGAAAATAAAATTAAGTTACATTCTCAATACATGCATTATATATTAATTAAGACACATTAAATGCTATTTTAAGCAAGGTTTTAAATTGTAACTTTTAATATGAAATTGAAATTACGGTAGATGTATTCTAATAATTTAGTTTAAAAACGGTTGTATTTTAAATGGGTCTTATTATTAAGCATCTGTTGCGTTCTCTAAGTGAGATACATCGCAAATTATTTAAAATCTGTATTTAGAATCTAGAAAAAAATTCTAAGAATTTTTAAGCATTTCTATCAAGCATTTTTTTATATTTTAAAAAGTTAAATATTATAATACCACAGTAGCAGATTATAGTTTTACAATCTAGCTCGTCTTCAATAGCCTAAATGTAAAATATAATAAATATAATTTGAATGTCTGTTCTCACTGGTCCAGATCGTACAGCGTGTGCGAGATCTTCGTGATCACCTCCACTCCCGCTTCAGACGCCAGTTTCTTTATAGCCGCGTCTCGCTCTTTCCCAAACGGCTCCGAGTCGCCCTCGAACGTCAGCCGAGACACCTTCCACTCCTGCCGACCAATCAGATGAGTGTTACTGTGGTCACGTGACCCAAACGCTTCGCGACTGTGAAACTCAAGTCGTTACCTTGAAGAGGCGCGGGAAGATGTTGGCCGGCTGGCCGCGGATTACGAACAGACAGGAGTTGAGTTTGCGAAGACTGGAGTCCAGATCCTCCAGACACTGCAGCAGAAACCTGACACACACACACAATCTGTGAGCCCTACATAGACAGCTCTGCAGACAGCGAGACTCCTAAAGGTGCCTCACACTCAGAACAATCCCAAAATGCACTGCTTCAAGATGCATTCAAGAAGGTGAATAAGGCATTTCCTTTTAATCAATAAAGCATCATACACCCCCATATCACAGTAATGACGCTTAGTATAGTACTGTCATGTTTATATTTTTACATGCATACTGTATTGATGTATTAACAATTAATTATAATAATACCTTCATTTACTGATTTAAGGTCTTATCAATAATAATAATACCTGAAGTATCAAAAAGTTATAGAAGTTTAAATGTACTGTAAATAAAATGCACTATTAATTTTATTTATTATAAATATTTTACATAACAGGTTTTACTCTAAAATTGGTATAAAAATGTCTAAATAAGTTATGTTCCAAATTTGAAGTTGATATGAAAAAAATTGAGGATCCTGTGAGATTTTATTTAGGGCGTCATACCACAAACAGCCACCGGGTGCCAACCAAACTCCATTAAAAGTTGCATTTTTCTGTCACAAATGTCAACATTTCTCGGTCAATATTACTTCTATCTCAAAATACCACCAAATATGGAATCCTGAGACTCAGACCTTTCCAATGATATGTTTTTTGTCAAGATTATAAAAAGGTTTGATTGTAAAAGAGCGTAATGCATTTTGTAATATGACACTTGACTCCGCCCACTAAGGGGGAGGAGACCACCAAAAGATTTTAAAGTACCATTTCCATGGTAACGCAATGTCCGATTTGCACAGCACAGGTGGGACGGTGACAGTTAAGGGGATTTAATATAGTGAGAATTGGACGTTAATCTAACGTGTGTCAGACGCGTCTCTCACCTCCAGCGGTTGACGCCGCGGTTGGAGGCCCCGGCGAACCAGGGGTCCAGGAAGTAAACGCAGCGCAGCGTGTGGGAGCCCCTGGCGGCCTCCAGCAGAGCCGGGTTATCGTGCAGACGCAGACCCTTCCGGAACCAGTGGATGGAGTTAATGGACATGATGCAGCGGCCTGAGACACACAGAACCATCAACACTTCAACTAATCCCTTAGTATTATTAACACACTATAAACTCTTCAGTCATTTAATGGGTTAACAATTACTGACAATAACAGTAGAACGCCGTTCTGTGATGCTACTTTTAATAATAATTAGCTATACAACATTCATCTTATATGTTGTTTTTATGTATTATTAATAGTGCTGAGGAACGATTAATCGCATACAAAATAAGTCTTGTTTACGTAATATATGTGTGCATGTGTGTGCACTGTGTATATTTATTATGTGTATATAAATACACTCACACTCATACAGTATATATTGAAAATATTTACATTTATATAATAGATATTATATAAATACATTTAATATACAAATATAACATGTTTCTTAAATATATACGTGCTTGTGAGTGTATTTATATATACAGTAGACACACATATATTATGTAAACAAAAACTTTTATTTTGTACGAGATTAATCGCGATTAATCGTTCCTCAGCACTAGCTAAGAACTAAGTTACCACAAGAAATATAGAGCAGCTCATTCGCTCCAAGAGTTTTGAGACAAAAAGTGTTATACTATTTTAAGTTTGCGTGTTTTTAATGCAGTGGGTCACGGGTTCGCTCTTTACGCAACCTGTTTGTCTAAATACACGAAATAATCCGCGAGTCTGTGAAGCGCCACTCACCTGAGGCGTTAACTAAAGCGGGGAAATTAGTTTAAGTGAGTCCAGGTGCTAAAATCATCTCAGGGTTTATGAAAATTCGCCTGCAGACCAGCGAAGTCCACCAAAGTCCAGCTGCACAGAACCAGGCAAAAACAGCGACGGTTTACATAACGCTCCAGCGCGCTGCGCATGCGCCGACAAGAAAGAATCCGGCGTGAGCACAGATTCAGCACACTAGATCAACCTACAGCTTCGTTTGTAACGTTTTAAGCGTTCTAAAAAATCGTTTTGCGGGTCTAAATCTCTATGTATTCGTGTTAAGTGTCTATTTGCTAAATTGCGTATAAAAAGGCTGTACGATGATCATGTTATATAGCGTATTTAAAACGATGCGCTCAATCTATAGTTGGCGCTCTATGCTGCTTGCGTGCTGCCACGCCGCTAGTGTCCCACATATGGAGGCCGCTCATTGGTCCGCGCCGTAGTGACGTCAAAAAATCCCTCTCACGTTTATGCGGCGTGGATGAAAAGCGCTTTGCGCGTAGCTTTGAATCATGTTTGAACGTTAAATACCGTTTAGTGTGATTTTAAGATGCGATCCCGCCGTGCGTTTATCATTTATGTCCGCTAGTAACGCTGTTACAGACGATTTTCCGAACACACTTTACCCCGCCTTATTAGCTCATCCGCCGTCTGATTGGTCGCGTCCTCAGACACCCGGATGATCACGGGCGAGACTCTATAGGACGCCATTTTGGATCTGAGGTCGCGGTTTCAGTACAGCACTGGAGAACACCGTAGAACTGCAGGAAACTGTGCGAATGTTGCCTTCAGTGCCGCTGGCGCAGTTGCTTACTATGTAATTTTACATTGTAAGCGAAGTAAACATGGGGTCTTGCGTGCGGTGATGCATATTAAATTATAGGATAATTATTTTCGACTTTTTGCTATTTTATGAAAGTTTATGTAGTTTTGCCGAACGACACATAAAAGTGTATAATAATTATTAAAAACGCGTTGGGAATATAATAGTGGATATATTTTTAATTTTCATGACATTTATTTTCTGTACTGTGAATAAATCTTTTGAAATGAGCTGTGTTTGTTTTGTAATATTTTGCTGTTGCAACCATAGGGCTGCAACACTATATATTTATATATTATAAAAATTCAGTTGGTTTAGTTTTGCTCTTCTTGAATGTTTGTTACTGTTGGCGTTTAGGTTTTAACTCAGAAACAACGATTCCTTATTTTTTAACCATTTAAAGCATAGACTGATTGTGTGTTTTGTTCAGGCGCTCGCCGGGGCGCTTTGTTTTGGGGTCCTTCCTCAGAGCTCCGCGCCAGTCGCGCTGCAGTCGCTCTTTGGGAGCGTTTTAATGTTTCCATTTTTTGCTGATTTTCCGTTCATATTTTAATATCTCTTCTAACCAGTGATCGGGTTTGCGCTGATATCGCAGCAGAGATGAATCTGGAGTTGCTCGGTGAGTAGAGCTGTCTGAGAGTGTGTTAGCTCCGCGCTAACCGCTGCTAGCCGTCTGTAGTGTTTATAAACATTCAATGGAAACTTTTACAGAACTTTAAAGTCGAATAATTGTAGGGAACGTTTTCTTTCAGTGCTCATTTAATGATGTATTTTATTATATGTATGATAAACATGACATGAACCTGTCAGGTTAATAAATATTCATTGTTATATAATTATATTAATGCAGACTTGTGTGAATGAATGTTGTTGAAAAATAACGTTGTAATTCAAAACTATCAAATATCAAAACTGTTTTCTGTCTTTCAGAGTCGTTCGGGCAGAATTATCCAGAGGTACAGCAACAGCATAAATAACATTTGTTATTTTATATATATATACACACACACACACTTTTAGAATCATATGTGTATATTGAAATTTATTATATATTTATTTACATATTTATAAATGTACACATTTTTTTTAATTCTAATATATTATTTCGTTTGTTTTTTTTATAATTATATTACAGTGTATACATTATTTTTGAAAAATGACATATATGTATATGGTGTGTGTGTGTGTGTGTGTGTGTGTTCAGGAGGCGGATGGCACTCTGGACTGCATCAGTATGGCTCTGACCTGCACGTTTAACCGCTGGGGGACGCTGCTCGCGGTCGGCTGCAACGACGGACGCATCGTCATCTGGGACTTTCTGACGCGAGGAATCGCCAAAATCATCAGTGCACACATACACCCCGTCTGCTCACTCAGGTACACACACACACTCTCTCAAACACACACTCACTCACACACACACACACACACTCACTCACAC